GTTTTCTTTGAAAAAAAATGTCTCCAAAAGTGCTTTTCTTGGGAAAAAAACGTCTTCAGAAGTGTTTTTCTTAGGAAAAAACGCCTCAAAGGCTATTTCCTTGAAGGAAAACGCCTTCAGAAGTGCTTTTCTTGGGAAAAAACGCTTCCAGAAGTACAAATCACCTCAGAGGCATTTTCCTTCAAAATTTCTGACAAAGAAACACCTCCGGATGCGATTCCTTCAAAGAAAAAAACCACAGAGACGAATCCTTTCAAGAAAAATGCTCCAGAAGCGAAGTCCTTTATAAAAACACTCTGGAAGCGAATTCTTTCAAAGAAATCACTCCAGAAGCGAAATCCTTCAAGAAAATCGCTCTGGAAGCGAATTCTTTTAAAGAAAATGCTCCAGAAGCAAAATTCTTCAAGGAAAACGCTCTAGAAGTGAATTCTTCTAAAGAAAACACTTCAGAAGCGAATTCTTTTAAAGAAAACGCTTCAAAAGTGAATTCTTTTAAAGAAAACGCTCCGGAAGTGAATTCTATTAAAGAAAATGCTTCAGATGCATTTTTCTTCAAAGAAAAACATCACTGGGTTTGTTTTTCTTCAAAGAAAATGTCAACGGGTTTATTTTTTTCAAAGAAAATGTCACCAGGACCATTTTTCTTTAAGTAAATGCTATCAGAGCAGCTTTCTTTGAAGAAAAACCGCTTTTGGATTTATTTTCTTCAAAGAAGAAAATACAAGCCAACGAGTTGAGCTGCGACATGAGCCAAGCTATAGCACAAGCTAGCTTATCTGACTTGTGGCTCGTTTTATGGTGGCTCGAGCCGAGCCTAAATGAGCTGGCTCATTTGACTTGCAAGCGGCTCAGCTTATGCAGAGCTTTAGGTTAATTGCTCTGTTTACAATATAAAAATAAGCCACTTAGTTTATAAATTTATTAACTTTATACATTATAATATATTTTATTAATTACTAATATATGAATTTTATAAAAGAAAAATAATCTATATTTATATAATTAGAATATATTACTTGAGAATAAGTATATAATAAATTAATATTAGGTAATATTAACGTATAATTCTTATGAACTACGACTGTTAGTCAGGGTATTCAAATGGTTTATTCTTTTAATTGAGCAGTAATCTTTCAATAATTTACAAGCTTAACTCAGATGATTTATCAAAGTCTTTATATTATCACAATGAGTTATGGTTCAACAGTTTGCCAGTAACGTGTATTTGTAAATATTATGTTTATTCACAAGTAAAATAATAATAAAGAAAAGAAAAAAAAAGTAATACTAAAACTAAAATATAATGCGATAGGCCTAGTTGCCTCTAAACTGTAGCGTAACATGATAGGCCTAGTTGCCTCTAAACTGTAATATAATGTGATAGGGCTGATTGCCTCTAAACTGTAATATAATGTAATAGGCCTGATTGCCTCTAAACTGTAATATAATGTGATAGGCCTAGTTGTCTCTAAATTATAACATAATATGATAGGCCTTCAGGATTGGTTACTTACGTTGGCTAATAATACCTCACTCACTGCTAAAACTACTCAAGCTATCTTTTTCCCCTTTTACATGAATTAACAAGTTACCTATTTATATAAAATATATTATATAGAAAGATATAACTAATATATCTAATATGTCAGCTATGTCTAATATGTCAGTTATGTCACATATGTCTGACATGTCTAATATATCAACTATATCTAATATGTCCAGTATATCAAATATATCAAATATATCAAATATGTCTGATATATCTGATATTTAGATCTGCAATATACTGTGTCATGTTCGTCAATCCAATCCTGTTACAATACAAAAATATATAGACTAATATGTATTAGATACTGGTAGATTGATCTATTGATCTATGTTGATTATATTTAAATACTAGATTTTAAAGAATAAGTAAATGCAAATGAAGTCAGAGATCAATAGAAACTTAGCTATTACTGATAGATTTGTAATAGATACTATCTCACGTCTTCAAATTCAGGGATCTTTATATAAGTAAGGAAGTGATTAATTAGTAATTAGTAGATTAGGTACTACCTACAGGTAGTATTGTACACAGATATTATCTGCATAAAATTGAGCAAACATGAACATTTAGGACATTATTTGAGATTTGCGTCTTGTAATTTGTCTTATAATAACTTGTACAATAAGCATATTTCTGAATATTTAGGATGATTCTAGACAATTTAATATGTTCTGAACAATCTAATAAATCTTTTTTATAATCAGATAATCAGTTTTTGTCTTCGTTTCATACTTTAATTTGTCAGACTTTCAAATTATATTTCTCTTATACTTATATTTCACACCTTTTTTTCATACTTATCTTTAAATATTGTGGAAGTTTAACAAAGGTCTAAAATGAAAGAAATTATTCTATAACTCCTTCACAACCTATCACCTCGCTGTCTTCATCACCTTTACCACTTTTACTACTTTTACCACCTTCACTACCTTTACCATTTTCACCACCTCTGCTACCTTCACCACCTCATGAATTTATCTTTAATAATATTAATAATAGAGATATTCTGTTGCTTGCAGGATTTTAAACTAAAAATAGAGGTTCAATTTTCTTTAATACTAGAAATAATATTAATTTTGCAAAGATTAGAAATTTGATATGTAGGCAAGTTTCTCTAGGTATTTTAATGGTTGATTTACCTTTTATAGTAATTAAAATAGTAAAAATTAATAATTTTTTATCATTTCAAGATTTGCAAGATACCGCTTCCTTCTTTACTTAATCAGTATATTATTAGAACTGAAATTAAAATTAATCAATATAATTTCAAAACATATTGTAAACTATGTATTGAGAAATTGGGAGAGAAAGAAGAAAGCAAAACATTTTTTCTAAATAAAAGGAATTGAATAATCCTACATTTTAAGAAATGTCTAAACTTTACTATCAAAACAACTGCGAAAGAATATACAGAAATATTTAAGTTGCTTGAAAGTAAAAATTTATCAACTTCAATAATTCCAAATAAAAGACTATATAAATATTAGCATAAATATTATTTATATTATATTTTTAGAAAGTATTTATTAACAATCACTTTTTTTAATTACAGATTCTTCACAATATTTTATATAATCTCAATCCTCTGTAATATCTATTCACAAAGTTATCTGATCAACTTATAGGCCTATAGATAATTTTATTGTCCAATCTTTATCTAAAGAAGATTTGGAAAGATTTTATACATTGTTACTTCGTCTTACTGTTTCATGTGAATAGGCATTGTCTTGGGTTAATAAACCTAAGGCCAAACAACTATTTGATTTTTTAAATCCTTTTTTAAATTACCTGACCATCATTTACTTGAAGGAAAAAATTTAAAAAAAGCCATAGATAATGCTGATAAAGTCATGAAAACTGCTCTTATATAGAAGATCCTATAGGTATAATTTTAACTTTTGATGGGTAGACAAATATTAAAAATAAGCAACTATTAGGAGCTGTCTTAATAACTTTAGAAGGAAAACCTTATGTCTAGAAGGCAGTTGATATTAGTTCAGAATGTGAAAATCATGTTAAGGTAATGAAAAAAATGGAATCAATGCTTATTAAATTAAAAATTAAAGGAATTACTGTTTATGCTATTGCTACTGATAGTGCAGGTGTATATGCAGTAGTTCAGTATATTTTTGTTAATGTTTTTTTTTAATTTTACTGTATAAATATTTAAATATTAATATTTCATTTTATTATATAGGCGAAGATTAAGAGTTTTAATTCAATCAGTTATATTTCTACTATATTTGTATATCAGATTAACCTTTGTGTAGATGAAATCTTCAAAGAATCTACAGAATTTAAAACTACAATTGATTAAGCTATTCAACTTGTAACATATTTTAGAAATTCAAATAACAAATTTTTTATTGCTTGTTTAAAAGAGCTACAACAAGAAACATACAAAAAATATATAACACCAATTGTTTCAGAAAAAATACAATGGAATAGTATTCATGCAATGTGTGTAAGTCTATTAAATACTCAAAGGGTATTATAAGTAAGTGTATTTTTTATTTATTAAACTTAATATTTATTATTGTAAAAATTAATATTGAAAATTTAATTTAGACATTAGCTATTAAGTTTGAATTACCTATTTTAGAAATGCATCGTAAATAAAGAGAAAACCTAATAATTTTAAGAATAATATTTAAAATAATTGATTTTAGTACTTTTTGGGAAAATCTTGCATCAATTGCTAAAATCCTTAACCCTTACAGTAAATTACTTAATGTTTTACAATATGATAAGGCACAATTATTTCAAGTAGTTCATAGTTTAGGTTATTTAATTTTGGTTAAATCACTCTAATACTATATTTATCACAAAGTTAATTACGTGACTTGAACAATATTAGAAGGGGTAGAAACTGTCACTTCTTTTATTATCTTGTTTATTACATCCAGAATATAGAATAGAATGTTTTAATAATTCAATTTCTAATATAAACTATTTAACTTTTAGAAAGTGGCTTATGTATTACTGTTATATATGGTTTAAAAAAGAACCAAAATATATTCTTCAAAAATTTGATGATTTTCGTTTAGCTAAATATCTATTTGATATTGATACATATAATCAATTTAATGGTGATATTTAGTGTTATTAGTGCTATGTTAGTATATCTATAAATGAATTAGGATTGATTACCTGCAGAATTTTTAGGATATGTGTAAATGTGATATTTGTTAAAAGACTTTGAAGCTGTATAGAATTTTTACAAATAAATCGGCGAAATCATTTAATGGTATGTTAGTTTATATTTATAAGTTAATTTTTTTATTAAATAATATTTTAAATATTTTTTTTATTATATAATCATTTAAAGTTCTTAAAATGAATAAATTAAGAGCTGATATTACATATTCTCATCGTCTTTCTGCATCTGAAATTATATTAAATATTAATAAATCACTTAATAATCAAGTTAGAAATGATAATTTAGATAATTTGATAGAAAAAGATCATGAAGGTTTAATAGAAGATAATAAAACTTTAACAGAAGAATTAGATAATGAAAATGATGAATTAAACCTAAAAAATAAATTTTGTAAATATCTTTAAGGTTGGGCAGATATGTTAGAAGAAGAATATATTATGAATGATGAATTTGACAAAAATAATGTAATAGATGATATTGAATATTCTGCTATTAATACTAATGCTAAATAAAAGTTAATAATTCTTTTTAAAAATGACCTTTAAATTATCTTTTTAATAAATTTGATATTTGATAGTATTAATAAAAAAATTATGAAAAATTTGTTTTATAATTAAATAATCATATGATTTATATATTATCCCAAATATCCTAGACATAAAAAAATGAAATATAGTTTAAGACTGTCTTGTCTCAGACTGTCTCATGTTCTTATTCCTAATATTGCTTATAGGTGACTATGATGATAATAGACTGCATTGCACATTGTAGCATCATTCAATCGAATTATCACTAGGGTAGAGGTTAGGTTCAATTCTCAGATAAATTTGACATTATAAATACAAATATCACTATCTATGTAAAGGACCTGATCCTATGGTCTCAGTAGTCATAGTAGTCATCAATAGGGTAAAATTCTATAAAGTAGATTGGTAAAAATAGGGTGTGACAAGCTCTATATTTGATGTGAACCCTCTATTCAAAGGTAATAGTACCTAATGGTCTAGTAAACCTATAATTACAGGTATAGCTATTACAAGTAATTTATACTAAGTGGTAAACTATCAAAAATGTATTTTTAGTATTAGATTACTATATTTCTTAACTGAGAATTGGAGATCTTAAAGGGTCACTTTGAGGATAATATTTACTTAGTTAATAGGTATTCCTCTAGCAAACCTTAAGTCATCGCACATTAATAGTTAAAAAAAAAATCTTTTTTTAGTATCAATTTTCCTTTTGAACTGTTATATTTTTTTTCTTTTTTTTCTTTTTTTTTTTACAAAAAAAAACACTTATTTTATTTAACATAATTTTTAAAAAAAATCTTATATTTTTAAACTTAAATATTTGAACTTATAAGAATTTATTAAATATATTTTTTTTTATTTGTAGATTCTAATTTTTAATATCTTTTTTTATATTGATATAATTAATATTTGTGTAGAAGTAATTTTTTTTGTAACTTTACTAAATAAATCACATTTTTTTAACTTCATAAGGAAATTTGAATACTTTGATCAAAGTTAATCACTTTTCATTTCTAAGTAAATATTATTTAGCAAATATAATACTATTTGTATATAAAATTTAAACTTAATTAAATTAATATTTATGTTATAATATGTGTTTTGTAACTTTATTAATAGCGTAGACCTATTTATATATAAAATTTAAACTTGATTGGATTAATATTTGTGTTGTAATATGTGTTGTAATATGTGTTTTAATATGTGTTTTGTAACTTTATTAATAGCATAAACCTTTTTTTAATTTCATAGAATAATATGATCATTTTAGTTAATATAAACTGCTTACTGGCATTAAGTAAAAATGTTCTATATATGCAAAACTATTTATATATAAATTTTTATTTTGAGTGTTTTAATATTTATTAAGTAATAGCTTTTATAACTATATTAATTCTCAAATTTTTTTATTTTTTTAAATATTTATTTGTGTAATTTATTAAATACTGTATCAATATAAATGTATATTGTAAAATTACCATACTTTATAAAAAAAAAAGTATTAAATAAAAGTATTTAAAAATTATTATTTTGTTTAATTATAATTAATTTTCTTTAGATAAATTAAAAAATTTTTTTTATTAATTTTTATTATATTTTTAAAATTACATAAAATAATAATTTATATAATAATTAAATATTACAATTACAGTTTTTCATATAGAATTTTATTCTTTTTCAAATGTGCTTTTTAATTATAATAATTAATGATAAATTTAAAAACTTTTATTAAGAATAAAGTTCACTTTGAATTTCATAAAAAGTTTGCAAAAAAAAAACTTTTTCTCCTTTCCTTCTACTTGTCTGCTGCAATTCTTGTTTTATGCTTTTTAATTATTTATACAATCTTGTAAATTATTCAATTATGTGATTAACTTATGTTATACCTGATCATTTAAAAACAGCTATTATCATTATCAATTTGTTTTTTATTTATTTTTTTTTTTTGATTTTTTACATTCTTTCTTTTTTTATTCTTTTTTTATTCTTTTTTCTCTTCTTTTATCAAGTATATTTACATTTTAAATATTATTTTTCTAATATTATTAACTACTAATAATCTACTAATTATATTTATTTATTTTTTTTATATTACTAATATTACTATCTTTTTTAATATTTTATATATTACTAATATTACTAACTTTCTTTTTAATATTTTATATATTACTAATATTACTAACTTTATTTTTATATTTTAAATATTATTACTAACATTGTTATTATTACTTCATTTATATATTATTAACCAATATTTTAAATATTACTTATTGTATTTTTTTTTTATATTTTATATTATCATTATGTTAAATAGTATTTTTATTATTATAAAATATTTGTATTTTATTATCATCAATATATTTTATTTAATAAATAAATAAATTTAAATTAAAGTAATTTTAAATTATATAATTATATAAAATTATATATAAATTATATAAAAATTACATATATAAATTTCATATAATATATATAAATAAAACATATATAATATATGTAAATAAATTACTGTATAATATACTTAATTTACATATTTTTATATATTTGTAATTCTGTCTTTTTTTTATCTTTTATATGTAATAATTATGTATATATATTATATTATTTACAAATATCAAAAATATATTATTTTCGTATACATAAATTTCTTATAGGGATTAAATATATATAAGAATATAGAAAAAATACTACAGCAAACCACTTTGATTTAGATGATTCAATGATTGAAAAATGGGTTAAGAAAAGTGAAGAATTAGAAAAAAAAAGTAAAAAAAACGGGTTTAGCTCAAGAAGAAATGCTTTTTATTCTGAAGCAAAAAATCTTTTATATATTTGAATTATAAAGCAGAGAAAGAAAGGTTTATCTATTAATTATATTTCTATTAGATTACAAATGTCTAAATTTCTCAAAGAACCTACCATTCAAGTATTATATCTAATAGAAGAAAATGAATTTCAAGGAAGTTTTTCTTAGATTAGTTCTTTTATGAAAAGATTTAACCTATTATTAAGAAGAAGAACTAAAATTTTACAAAATTACCTGAAGATTTAGAAACAAAATTAGAAGAATTTAGAAGATTTATTATAAGATTGAGGGTATAATATAATTTTAATTTAAATAACATTTTCAATATGAATAAAACTCCTATTTAGTTAGATATAGTAGAAAATTTAACTGTCAATAATAAAGGAGATAAGATAGTGCATATCTTTATTACTAGAAATAATAAAATCATTTTATTATAGTTTTAACTTATTCAGCTGGTATAGAATTGTTAATCTTTATTTTATTTTATATTAAATTAATAAATACTTTTTATTATTGTAAATATTCTCCTATCTGCATCTTTAAAGGAAAATAACTTTCTTGTAGTGAAGTTATTTCAAAAGATATTATTTATTGGTTTCAAAAAAATAGATGGATAATATCAAATTTATAAAAAATTATATGATTTTTTATTTAAATTTCATATATCTGAAAATTTGTTAAAGAATCTTACTATAATAATATATGATTCATTTTGAGATCATTTGGAGAAAAATATAAAAGTTAAATTTAAACAGCATAATTTTTATTTAACTGTAATTTTAGTAGGATTAACTAGTATATGTCAACCATTTGATATATGAATTAATAAGCCTTTTAAAGATATTTGCGCAAAGAATAGCATGAATAAATGTGTAATAATAGTACTAGTATAATAGCAGCAGGTAACTTAAAAAAAGCAAAAATTAGTGATATATATGGTTGGATTAAATGTTTATGGAATGCTATTTCAGATTAATTATTTTTAATTCTTTTAAAAAATATGCTATTTCAAACATGTTAGATATATCAGAAGATGATTTAATTATGAAGAAATTGATAAATTAATTAAAGAATATGAAAAGGAAAATTTAAATAAATTAGATGATAGTATTAAAATTGTTATTGATTAAATAAAAGATTTAATGAATTTAATACAAATTCATTAATAAATTATTTTTAGTTTATTATTTTTATATTAAAAATTTATAACTAATATAAAATTTATATTGTTATATATTAAAACTTCAATTATAATACATGACAACAAAACTGATATTAAATTTCAGAATTTTAACATATAATGATAAAATTTTATATCGTTTGTTGTCAAAATTTGAAATTTTAATGTATAATGATAAAAATCTACAGAATATTACATTGCTAATATTAAAATTTAGAATTTTAACACATAATGACAAAACGTTCATGAAATTTTAAATCATTAATGTCAAAATTCAGAATTTTAACGCATGATAACATTAAATTTTATGGATTTTTATCATTGTGTATTAAATCTAACTGATCAATCAACTATAAAAGAATGCTTATTTTCAGATATGCTTATTTTTAATTTTACTTATACCATAATGAAAATCTAAGAAGTGTTTATTTGAATAAATACTTATTTTCAGTATTTTACAGTATTATTAATCTATTCTAAAGTAATTCTAATTTATACACTAAATAGTAATTTATTTAATATAAACTGACTTTGCTTAGTCTGGTAAAAGACCAAGAGTCAATAAATTTCCATATTTAAATTGGCAAATTGTATATAGCGATATATATTACTCTAATGCTATAAACAGTATTACTATATAGCTGAAATCAGTTAAGATTTAGTATTAATTCAAGATGAGAATTGGCTACTTTATTTTAAAAAAAATTATTAAATCTTATGAAGATTCTTTTAATATCAACCACACTTTATTATCATATATATTAATCATAATATTATCAAAATGCTGATGATTTATCTATTGTCTTAAGCTAGTTTTAAAATTAGATCAACAATACATAAAGTGAGTTATTGTTGTATTCCAGAAAATAAAAAGATTAAATTAGGTTGAATTAATGTTTGATTTGTCAATATGATTTTTTGAGATAACAGAGTATTATAAAATCATGTTTTGCAAATTAACGAATTAGAAAATTCTACATGTTAACATTTCATTACAGTTAATATATTATTCTATTAAAAATTCACTACTTCCTATTTTTGATACAGCTTATGACATTTAGAATAAGTAATAAAATGGTGAAATCAGTCATTTAATCTAAGTATTTTTTTCATTAAGTATATTGAATTTGAAAAGTTTTTAAATTTGTTATCTCTGATTTCTATCAAAACTAATTTCATAAATTTTATTAATATTATTACAGGACCAATTAATCAAATAATAATTTATTAGATGATAATTAATAAGAAAGTAATTTATTAGATAGCAAAGTAGTAATTACATAAGATAATATATTGATTAAGACACAGTAAATTATATGGTTAAGTATAGTAGATATTTATTAAACAAATATAGTTAGAATAGACAAATAATATAATTAATTAAATAATATAATTAGCTAAAAGATGAAATACTAAAAAACAAAAATGGAAAATAGAAATACAGGCAGGAATAATAGAATTACAAGATAATAAATATATATAGATAGCACTTTTGATGACAATTAGTTTAGGATTAGCCAGCTATGCTATGGCTATAATAACTTTTATAAAAATAGCTTATTTTCAGCTAAGATTTAGAAATTATCTTTGGGAAATTAACAGTCTTTTTGAAAAATTTGAAGGAAATTAAAAAATTATAATAAATAATACCTTTTAATAAAAATAATCTTTAATCTTTACTTGTATTTTTTGAGGAATCAACAGTTAAGGATGAGTTTAATAAACATGATTTACCCTAATTCCAAGTAAGCTTATTAACTTGTATCTTACTATTTGATATCCTTAGAATTGTTAAATATTATGAGTAATTAAACCAATCAAATAAATCAAGTATAATAATACCTCAATTGCAGATTCTGTATCTTGTCCAAAATGACATAATTCAAAGTAAAATTTACAAAAATCAGTTATTAATTAATTTTGTATTTGATGAATTTTAAAATAGCTCATAATTCAGTAATACATAATTTTCAAAAGTTTTAAAATCATTCTCTACAGAATCATCATCTTCAGATTCACCTATAATATAATTTTCTTTAGTGGTAAATTCTAAAGATTCTGAAGGTTGATCAGCTTTTGTTTTAGGATTATCAAAAGGATTTATGTTAGATTTTAGATGATTTGTATATTTTCTTACATGTTTTTAAGATAAAAAGTAGAATCAAATCTTCTTGATATCTATCATTAGATTCATATTCAATAATTTTTATAATTCATCTAGTCAAAATCGATGTTAATAATTCTTCTATTTCATCTTATATTTCAAATTGATGAAATATATCTGAAATAAAACTTTGTGAATCTTAATATTAACTCTAGTATTATGAGACGTTGATGGTCTAAAAGTAGATATATTTTCTTTATTAGTTAAATCACTAATTGATCTACTTATTCTTCTATAAGAAAGTATATTAGAAGATTGAAAATAGAAATATTTTTTTCATCAATTAATCTAGGAATCAATTTATTTCTTTTACAAGAAGATATATTAGAAGATTGACTTGATAATAAATCATCATAATCATCACATATTTTAGAAATTGATTTTTTTAGCTTATTTTTATTTTATAATTGAAAAATTAAGAAAAAATAAAAGTTTAAAATAGAGTTTTTTATGAGAACAATTTTAGTTGAATTTTATATTTTTAAAAAATACAGTAGTTTTGCAAATATTTATATTATTATTGAATATTGTTTTCCTTTTTTAGTAAGTGTAAACAATTAAACAAATTTTCTTTTTAAAATAATTTTAATGTTTATAACTATTTTTGTTAAGTTCACTTTGATTTAATGTATTGATAATTGTTTTTAAATCTTGTACTGATTTAATGCATGATAAAAGTATTATTTTTGATTTACTTTAAGTTCATTTTGATTTACAGCAAAATTTATAATTCACTAATCATCCCCTGAAAATCAAATTTTAAATGTATAAATTCATACATTTATATATTTAGATTTTATACAATATAATTGATAATTATATATTAAATAAATGCAAATATATATGCAATATAATTTTTTCATAATGGTAATTGAAAACTTGAAGTTGACTTATCATTTAAATGCATATCCTATATGCTTAATTTGTATTGAATATAATGAGTTATATAGAGAGTCTAATAAATGTACTATTAAAGAACTCTAATGAAATAAAAATAGTAAAAATAAAGTTAATTTTCATAATAAACTTCTTAAAAATTTATCAAAGAAACAAAATCCTAGAAATTCTAAATATAATTTATCATTTATTAATTAGTTTTATCAAAATACTTCTTTTAAAATTAAAATTTCAAAGCAACAAAATAATGTAAATATATATTGCAAGTATATTAACAGATATGATTATTTAAACAGGAGTTAATAATTTTTTTATAATTTATTATTATAGTTTTTATTAAATTTAAATTATTTTTTAACTTAAAATTTTTTTAAAGCTAAAAAACTAGCAGAAGTAAATACAGCAAAGTTTCTTAAAGATATTCTAAATGAAATAATCAAATTACTGTTAAATAATTCAACTTCTATAAATATTTTACCTCAAGATATATTATTATCAAATGATTCTAAAATTGAACCAGTTAAATAAGGATTAAATTTATACAATATTGATTTTTATATATAGTAATTTATATTATATAATAATAAAATAGTTTTTAAATTAGTTTATATCATATTAATATGTTATGATCAATTTTAATAGTCACGAAAAAAGCTGGATAGAGCTTTAAAAATTTTTTTTATACTTAATAATATTCTAAACTTTAGAAATATTAAAGAAGTGGTATTTTCTTATCATAATTTATCAGAATCATGGGGGAGTATTGAAATTGGATTAATTTGTTATCAGATATTTTTAATAGCAAAGTCTGATCAATATGACTTAAAGGCAGATGGTTTTATTAAAGCATTTGTAGCTAAAGCAAAAAAAAATAAAAAATTTCAGTTATGTATATATTAAGATCAAGAAAAAGTTGTAAAACGTAAAGCAACAGTTTATGGAAGTACTATTATGTGAGATTAAACTCTAATATAAAAAACTTGAGTATATTATTATATTATAAATTTATTAAAATATAATTAAAAATTATAATTTTTTAATCTTTTTTTAAATATCAATAAATGATTCAGAAATTATTTATGCATTTAATCAAACAACAAGTAGAATCTGAAAATCTTTACCATAATATGAACATTATTCTCAAAGATGTTTAATATCAGATAGACAACATCTTAAATTAGATGAAGAATTGATAACTATATATTATATAATTAATATTTACTTAAAACATAAAATATTTAATTTTATTTAAATAGGTTAATAAAATGGAGAATGTAAATGAAAAAAAATCTGCCAAAAATATCATTTTTTGATATCAATAACTTACAACTAAAAGATTATTAATGAAAATATAAGATAATAATTTATTTTCATCAAGTAATATTTTTAATTTATTTTAAACTTTTATATGCTTATTTATATATTATTAAATATTCTTTTTATTATTCACATTAAAATATCAAAAAAAATAATAATCTTATATTATTTTCATTTTCAATGAAGTTCTAGAAGGTAAAAAATTTATTATAAATCATCACTTAATACTGATAGGATAGAATATTTACCAAATTAAATTATGAGTAATGTATTCTATTAACAATATGCTGATATTTAGTTAAATTTAAAAACAGTGTTAGTAAATTTTGACGAATTTTTTTAAATTTTTTATATAGTAATTTTATAGTAATATAATAATATGCTTTATAATAGTAGTATAATAATAATATAATAAACATTTTAGTTTACTTCGTATTATAATTATTGAAATTTTAATATTAAATAATCAAATAAAAACAAATACTTTATTTGCTTATTAAATTTATTTAATAAAAATAGATATTTAATAAATATATCTACCATATTTAAAACATGCATTTACTAACTCTTCTCCAATTGATATATAAGCTATTTCTAATGCTTCAGCTGGAACTTCTAATGACTTTATTCAAATTCAATTTTGTCTTAAAAAATTTTTAATATAAAAAAAAGTTTGTTCAATCTAAATAAATTTAGAAAATAAATTACTTTTAATTATTATATATTAAATAATTAAATTAATAATTAAATATTAAATACTAAATTAGAATATACAGGTAAAAATTCAAGACGTATACCTTTTTGTCTGTAATGATTAATAATATTTAATCTTTATATATCATTGTATTATCTAAAATTAAAATACTATAAGATCTTAAAAATGTATTCATTTTTGATAACTATAACATTTATATAAATTTAGTTATAATAAATAAATATTATTAAAATTTTATTATAATAATATATGCGTACTAATATATTTTCAATAAAAAATTCAAAGTCTTTTGAATCCTTTGCTGAAACCCATTAAAATAAAAAATATGTTAACAATATTTTTGCAATATAACAAACATATCAATTTTGTATTTATGTTATCTATGTTGTAACTATATGATCACAATATGTCAAATATATGTCAATTTATATAGTAAACATATATTAGAAATATGATATAAAAATATAATTATATAACAAACATATAACAGAAATATAGTAAATATATATATTTTTTTAATCTCTGTAAACTTTTTATTTTCAGATAAAACTTCATTTAATAAATTTTAAGTGCATGAACTTTTTGTTTTAAGAAAAATGATAATTATAATTAAAATCTTTCATCATAATAATCTATAATTACTCATAAAATAAAGATTGATAATAAGTTTTGAGATTGCGAGAGAGAAATCTAAAATAATATTTTTTTTTTGCTTAATGAATCATATTATTAAATATGGTATAAAATCCTTGTTTTTACCATACCTAATATGAATTTGTAATTTTTGTTCTTTCAATGAATCTAAATGTCAAATTCTATAATTCATATTAAAACAATATAAGTGATATAACAAAATATTTTTATTAATAATATAATAAAATAATAAAATAAACAATATTATTATAATATTCACATGTTTTTTATCTATACTGCATTATAATTAAATTTGTTTAAAATATAACTTCTGTTAGTTTCATCATGTTCATTATCATATATATTTGTGCAATTATAAATAAAATGTACATATGGAACATAATCAACAAAATCAATTGGAAAAATTCAAAACTAACATGACTCTTTAGGCCTCTGAATCTTATAAAGTGAACATTCCAATACAATATTAATAATGTTTGTCATCTCAAACCAATCAAATACAAAAATGTGAAATATCGATCATTATTTGTTTTATGCCAAATAATTTACACAATTCTGGCATATGCAATACCTTCAGATTCCTCTTCAAGTTCTACAACATCTCTGACATAAAGTTTTAATCAAATAGAAGGATCCTGATTACTTTTAAGGACTGTGTATGTGATAGATCTATAACATTCCAAATTTTTATTCAATAATATAACTTTTGAACCTAAATGATTACTATATGATTTGTAAAGATCTTGAAAGAATGGATTATTATTATCTAACTTTGTTAAACCTATACTTTTAATCTTATTGGTATCCTATTAATTGCAAAGTGATATATCAATAAAATTTTTATCACGATATACTGTATCTATAAAAATATATATAAATTAGCAAATAAGAATGAATCTATCATAACTAAATACAAGATTTATTATCTTTATTACTTTCATGTTCATTATGATTAGTATTTATTATAAATAAACTTTCTGTGGTATACCATCCTGAGAGAATTGTGTAAAAATTTGGATCCATAGTAAGATTACCCAATGCATTGGTCCTTATGCCAAAGCAAGAATCTATCTAACTATCAATAAGATATCGTAACGCTTGAATGATATTATTATTGAGTAAGATCAAGTTCGATTGCTTTACAGTTCATATATGATACCATATTTTTAAACGTATGATATACCATCTCTTTTATGCCTACAGCAGTATTAATAAGTATTGCAAAATTATGAGCATGCTATAAAAGGTGTATGTTTACATGTAAATTAGGTAAGTTAGTAAAATTATTCAGAAATAACTAATAATATAAATTATAATATTAATACATTTAAAATATACTTGTAATATTAATAATATATATATGTGATCAAATCTCCAAAAATTACTGAGATTTCTGAAGTTATAAAAGAATACTTATTTGTGTAAGTATTTCATGTTCTTTTTTAAGTGATTCTTGCAATTCTTGATAAATATTTTCTGTTATAGTGATCGAAAATGTAAGTTTTAATGCTTTAGTTTCAATGGCCCAATATATACATAATATCGATACAGCAAAATTTTATCTTATTTTAGAATTTTTACGCTAATCATTCAAAGTATCCGTCTTTATATGATTAAATTTTAAAAAATATTGAAGAATAAATGGCATTAGCATCACAAGTCTCAATATATCAAAGAACATGAAACTTTGATGATGTTATATTGGATTAGACATTTTACACCAATGGATAGGTTTTTCAATACTTTTCTAATACTCTACAAAGGTATTTTCACCACTTATATTAAACATATTGAATGTCACTTCTAATAAAGTCTGTACTTTTCTAGTCATAGAATAATATACATTATGTGATATTTGAAGATGTTGGTCCCAATGAAGAATGTTAAAGGATCCTGATTCTATTAATCCATATTCTGTAGATAGCCATTCTTTATTTCTTTTTGAATGTTAGTTTTTAATTTCTACAAGCCATTCATTTGTTTGCTGATAAAAATGAGCATTTTTTATAAAATTATAATTTGGATTAGTATATTGATTATTTGAGACGTTACATATTCGACAACCATAATTAGCTCTATATTATTTCATGCCTATCAAATCGTTTTCTTATAGTAGGTCAGCAGTAATACACCCAACACCGCCTATAACCCATGCGTGATCATGTAAAATTTGAATTTATAAGTCCATTTTCTAACAATTTTATATCTTGAAGTATTGGTTTGATAAAATCATTAAAAGTTATTTCGAATGGAACGAAACCTATTAAAAAATGGTTTTTTAGTTATTTTCAGAGAGCTAATAGCATATTCTCTAATTGTAAATAGACACTACTTAATGAATAGTATACATTTCTGTAAGTATTAAAATCGTTGATATATATATTCAGAAATATCTTTAAGACAGGTAATTTCTGTTGCAGTTGCTTAAATGTTATAAATTCGCAAGGTAATTGATGTCTTGCTACTATATTACGATATTTCTATCTGCCATCAAAATGGTACATAATTTCTTCAATGTAAAATTGTATACTTCAGGTTCTGGCATATCATATAACCAAATAAGTATACGTTGTTCTATATTTGCTAGGTTTATTAATTTCGCTTCTCTCTCAACCAACTATAACTCTTTACCATTTCTATGAGTATCAGTTATCAGTAGAGCAGTAATTACGAAGATTTTTATATGATATAAGTGAATCAATTTTTAGTTTAAGCATATGAGGTCTTTGCAATAGAAAGGGAGGAAACTCTAAAAAAATTAAAATTTTAGTTTATAAGCCAAAAATGCTCTAAATACTATAATTTGTTCAGATTTATTATTAACTCATTTTTTATTTTTTTTTTTGAGTTTCTTCCCTTTCTATTACAAAAGCCTCATATTATTGTTTATTTCATCAACTACCACACTACATACTTGATACATAAATGTTAACGATTGTTCACAATATATTAAAAAATCGCTTGCACTATAAAATTCTAGATAAAAAATGTTTTATGTTATTCAGTTATAATTTTCTATATAAACTATGCAAAAAACATTATAACTTTCATTTTCATTTTCAATTTTGTCTTCTTTGAATAACAACGAGTCTTGTCATAGTTTACTATACCAGAATTCTCATTTTTTGTCTGCAACTATTCCAGGACCAAAGCATATTTTGGCATAAGCATCAGATTGTTTAAAATACGCTCCAGATATGTTAATGGAGAAATTGTAAATGCTTGTTTTATAGATGCATAAGTGGACGGTATTCACTATGAATAAAGAGGTACGTCATATTTACGTATATTGACTAAGGGTAGTCTATTTCTCTATTTTCAAATCTGATGAATATTTATGATAACTTCCTCTTTTCGATACTCAGAATATGTAAGAATCTTGGCAAGATCTTCATAAGCAGATGTTGCTACATAAAATTATTGATTATATAGTAATATATATATATATATATATTGTATAAATAGTAAAGCATTTGTTAGCATTACTCACAAATCATGTATTTATGATCCAGATAAAAATTATTGTTGATATGAAATTTGAAAAGTATGGACCATATTCATCATCGAAACCTTTGAAGTTAGAAGACTTTCCTTCCAATATATCAATATTCATTAAAACTTCTTTATCTACAATGTCAAATAATGGCCTATACAAATCATTAATATATTCTTCTATATCATGTTCAGGAACGATCTCCTTAAAATGATTTATAATAAAAATTATATGTTAACTATCATATCTATAGCATTGATCATTATCATGAATCTTTATATAGTTGTACGATACTATAATTTCAAAATATGTATAATAACTTCATCTGTCATTTCTGATAAGGTTTTAGTCTTTCTGTCAGTTAACTCTTTATCATTAGTTAAATTTAAGTCTTTTTTATGTATACCAATATTGAAAGAAGTAACGTTTTCTGCGTCGTCATTTTCTGAAATATTTTTTGCGTCATTGTCTTTCAAAACATTTTTTGTGTTATCGTCTTCTAAAGCATTTTTACGTCATCGTATTCTGAAATATTATTAAATACAGAATATTTATTATATTGTGATTTTTTAGCTTTAACACGTAACTTTGACAATGTTGCATATGGGCAACTGGTTTTCAAACATTTTATTTTTAACAAATATGATTTTTTTATAAAATATAAAAGAAAAGTTTGAATAAAATAAAAAATAAAGTTTTTTTGATATACCGAGGGGGAGGACAAAAGTATTGCATGCTTTTATTTTTTCAATAATTTTTTATTTTTTACAGAAACATACAAATTTTTTTTTATTTTT